GCGGGGCGGTGAGGGATTTTCGGGCGCTCGAAAATTCTCGCGTCAATCCACGAAATCGACGTCTGCGATCGCCAATCGGCCGCGCAGCGGCTGCGCGGTGCTGCAACCCTTGGAATCGAAAGAACAGGTCATAAAGGTGCTGTTAATCGATTTTTGCGATGCCCGGCCGCCCGCGCGGGCGGCCCCCGACGTTTGTTCGCCGGGAAGGGTACTCAACTATGTACAAGAAAGACTCATTCTGGGTCTGGTCCCCTCTCTCGCGGCTAGCCAACTCTGGCTTTCTCGCCACAATTTTTTTACCTTAACGTAGGGCAGCACACGAGTTGAAGGTTTTTCTGCACCCTCTGCGATGTCCCCTGCTTTCCTCACAAAATATTCGGAACCGTCCAGGGGCTCCACGAGTCGAGATTGAAGTTATGGTTCTGAGTCGAGCGGAAGATGCTGGTACCACCAGCATTGGGGTTGTTGAGCAAGTACTTGCCAATAAAGGCGTTAAGTTCACTGCCCTGCTGCGAGCTGGGAAACGAACAATGGGAATTGCCTCCCACCTGGCTATACCCAAAGCGGTCGAGAGCGCCCAAAGCCTGCCACTGCTTGCGGGCAATGCCCATGCAGCCATATGTCGAGATCTTCCCGAGCCACTCCATGTCGACGTTCTCCATAATGTAGATGGGGCGAGGAGCAATTAGACCGGCGAGAAGGTGGTGGTCGAAGGGCAGGCTGTCGATGTTGTTGACGTGCTGATTGAAGTTGGGCGAGAACCAGACGTTCTCCTGAATGATTTGCTTGGACTCTTGCACGTTGTCGCCCCTGTTCTTCTGCCATGTCGCAATACGCCAGCAGCTAGAACCGCCAGCGCCGGATTCCTCGGGGAGGGTGAGGGCAATGCGCGGTTCGAGAGCACCAGCAACGAGGGCTCCCTTGCCGTTTCTTGAGCAACCGGTAACACCGATCCGTACTGGGTCAATGTTGGTTTGGGCCTTGGTGAGCTCAAGAGCGTCGATAATACGCGAGACACCCCACGCCCAAGCTGTCAAGGCACCTGCTGAGTGGCCACTGCCGTAGAGGTCGTAAAACTTGCCCTTGCCGCGGGAGGATTGACCTTGCTCCTGTGCAATGTCATCGTTGCTGAAGTTGATAATGGCAACGCCAGAGGGAATTGGTAGACCGCCAAGGGGCCCATAGTTGATGATGGCTGGATGAGTTCCGGAACCAGGCGGCCTGTTGTTGATGCTGACAGAGAACGAGATTGACTTGCCGTTGTCCAAGACGGTGATGCTCAGCGTGCTGCCGGAGAAAGTGGCAGACATAGAGGATGGCTTGCTTGGCAGCGTACCCAGTTCGTACTTTTGGAAAAGTTGACTGATCTCGGTCTGCCGACAAGTCCAGTCTGCCTTGCTTGACACCTTGCCGCCGCCGTGGAAAGTGAAAGGATCATTCAGTGCGTTGGAGACTGGGCTGCCGAGGCCGTTGGGGGTGGGCGGGCAAGATGTACCTCCCCCAGTTGGCGTTGGTGATGTCGTGGATGAAGGAGCCGATGAGACATGGGAGACTGTGAGTGTGGTCTGCGGTTGGGGGGCGTTTGTAGTGGCCACCGCAGTTGTCGGTTCGTTTCCGGGCAAGCATTGATGGTACCACTGGTTTTGCTGGAAGCAGTATGCGCCATCAACGCACAGGGTTGGTTCAGACCAGCTCAAGCCACCGCACTGGCCCCAGAGGCTTTGTCGCTGTTGAGCATTGGCACCGAGAGCGCCGAGAAAGACAAGAAGGGACGAAGCAAGGGTCGGAGACAACATGATGCATCTAAAGCGTCCTAAGCCAGATAGTCGAAGCTCAGATAGACAAGTGGAGGTGTTGTCAAGTGCCAACTACCAGGTATCTTGTTCTTATTCCGAGCACGTAGCTATCTGGGTTTAAGTGGCAACATTATACTCACACTCAATAAAACCCGCGGCTGTTGTAGTTCAGTTCCCCTGTTCCCCGGTTTTATATCCATTTCATCTCGAAAATCAAATACGATAATTCGTCGTGTGACTGAGAACAATTTTTGGACAATGGGATTCCAAGCGTTGTTGGTGTAATTTAGCCTAATGAAAAAACAGACGGATGGCAGTATTAGAAACGCCAAGAGGGAGATTCTCAGGCTCTATGGCTCCTGACTTTACCCCAGATCCTTTGATGGGGTTGGTTGTGCGAATGAAGTCATCTAATTCTGGTGCAGTGCTTAGATTGGGAAGAACAAAGCCCCGAGACTGACCAGACTGACCAGACCATCAATCCTCCACCATTTGCCATTTCTCGGCGGGCTGCGTTTCGAGACATGTCCAGCATTTGGGATTCTAGCTAGCCCAATGTTATCTAAGCCGGCCAAATCTCAATGCGGTGGACTGAAAGCCTGATTATGCTGCCCATGTCAACGGGGGTTTGAACTTTGCCATTTGAAATCTGGAAGTTTTGCTCGGACTTCTACTTACGAGGCATCGCAGTGCAGCAATATTGAGGGATTTAGCCTGGTTTTTTCCCGCTCGCTACCAGCAAACAAGTCCCGGTGGATGCGGAAATGGCACAGCAAGGGCGAGGACAAGATTTAGATCCGATCTTAAAACGGCAGCTTGGCTTGAACGGGTTTACCTTGAGCCGAGATGTAACCACGGCGGTAATTCGGTACTCGGTAGGCCGGATCAATGCTAGCAGCTACTTGAGGTTAGAAGTTCTCCGCTTTACTTCTCTATGCTGTTGATCAGGGGCTTAAAGGAGTGGGAACGCAGGTAGATCTGGTAGAATCCGCAGAAGGGCCTCTATATTTCGAGCTTGTTTATAAGTACTCTCAAAAGGTGGCATGCCAGAAATGTGTGGGTACCATCGAAATTCAGTACGAGCGAAGGGACTCGGGAGGCTCAAAGGACCAATGGAGACCACAAATACAACCCATATATTGTTACAGTTTGTTTCCAAAGAAGGGGAAATGGTCTCTGTGTCGAGAAGAAATTAAAGCGCAGTGTGAGGCAGAGGACACAAGAGAGGGAACTTGAGAACATGTTGGCTCGCAATACCAGAGGCGTATCCAATATTCAGTATAGAGTAGTTACTCATTGTGATATCAATGTTGTTGTGAAGAGCATCTTAGGATCGGCTCGCAGACAAGTTCACTTGGTCTGTTGATCGACAAAATCGAGAATCGGGACGATGTAAGTGTCCCATCCCGGAACGTTAGGGCTCTGAGATACTGTCAGTTAGTGACTCCATTAACTTGACCTTGGACTCCTCTTACCGTGAACTTCAAGTCAAAGACGTGCGGCTCTCCCTCCTCGTAGCACTCCACGATTGGGACTTCACAGTCCCTGAGCACACCAGCCATAGCGTAACTTTGCTCGACTGGCACTGCCTCATCTGCAGTCCCGTGTAGAAACGCGGTAGGCGGGTACAGATCGAGCCCCTTTTTGCCTTCGGTAACGCGCTGCTGAATGACTCTCAGGGCTGACATGGAACGGACAAATGCCATCAGCTCTTCTTCGCTCGCAAACTTCTCCCCGTGCATAATCCCAATGCGCAAGCCATCCGCGTTCCTCTGAAGTGCGTAGTACATGTGCAACTCAGCCTGCTTGAGAACCCGCTCCGTGTAGCGGAAGTCGGTGGCCCATAACTCGCTGATCTGAGCTTCCGAGAAGGACTCAAATTCATTCCACGGCATTGCGTCCGTCAAGATATTGGCTGGATCGCGGTCTCGGAGCAAAGCGTTGAGTTCCTCTGGCGAGAACTTGCCCTTCCAGGGCGGCTGTGGTTCTTTACTGGTCCGCTGCTCAGGAGAGCCGAAAGCGGATAGAGACACAAAGTCCACAAGACCGTAGACATTGACGATGGCTTTCGGAGCTGGGTTGGACAAGTGCAGACCCATCAAGGTGACCAGGTTGCCACCAGCCGACTCACCGATGAGGACGTACCGGTCGACGTCAATTTTGCCGATGCCAAAAATTGAGGGGAGGTTGTCACGGCACCATGCCACGGCCTCGAGGCAGTCGGCAAGCTGGTCATCAACGCGTGCTTGCGGGGCGAGCCGGTAGTTGTGAGAGACGAAGTGGTATCCACGCTGCCGAAAGCCGGGCGCCATCCACGGCAAAGGCGCGAAGTCTGGCCGGGGTGTTAGCTCAAATCCGGCCACATCAATCCATGCTCCATGGGGACTAATTTCCAGCGTTTCAAGAATCCGAAGAACGGTGGGTTGACATACGGGTCCCTCCAATCCATCCCCCACCATGAGTCCTAAGGCTTGTCAGACGTTCGCTTACACCCAAAATCTCCTCTGGCAAGCCAGCTAAGTAGAGAAGTAAAGCCAGTAATTAAGATCTGCTTACCACAACACAAATGGGGCGGGCTCGTTCCCTTGAACCTCGGCAGGCCAAACACGGACGTCGAGTTCTATGCCGCTGGCGGATTTGAACTTGTGGTCGGTAAATCCGGGGGGTGCGGCAGGGGGGGCAGCCATGGTATTATTTTCTTTGAGAGTCAATGATGAGACGAACTGTAGCTGGGATGGTCTCAGGCCAAAGAGGGGTTGAAGAAGAGGATGAGAAGCTGCGAGTGGGGCAAGACGTCCGGATAATTACCCCTGGAGTCTCGACTTCCGTGATCTTCTGAGCTGCACGGTTCTCCACCCCGTTTGTATTAAAAGGGAAGTAGTTGCTCTTAAACACTCATTGTGACAAACAAGATTCTCTTGAATGGCATTGGCGACGCCTCTCCAAATGAGTGGCAACTCTTAGTCTTTGTGAGTTGTGCTGACAGCAAGAAGTTATAAGTTCGAGTGTTACGGCCAGTTGAAGGTGATTTTGGCCAATATGTGCCCATCACAGAAGAAATCCATGGTATAAACTTGTCTCGGGGAGCCTGAGCATCTGGTGATGCCCCCCTAACTCCGCAGGTTGGCGTTGATGGAGAATGTGAAGCGGTTTAAATTGTCCTTTATAAAAATGATTTTGTCCTCAACCAACCAGCAATCGAAGTTCCATATAGTGTAGTGGTTTAGCATTCCAGATTTTCAACTTCAAAACGTTCTGGCGACCCGGGTTCGAACCCCGGTATGGAAGCTTGATTTTTGCTTTTCTCGCTTACACTTGGGCCAACGAGGTACAATCAACACCGGACTCGGATTTGCCCTTCCACTCAAAGTGGCAACCCTTTTTCCTTCCGCTAACCAAGCTCTCTGCCTGACCACCGTGACGCCAATCGCAGATGATGCCCAAAGAAGGACTCGAACACGCATCTTGCCATTGTCATCTGACAGCTTCGATTTTCATGAGCCGTGTCTGTACGTTACCAGTGCCAGGCACTGTTTCCCCGCGGACCCAACAAAAAGGACGAGACAGCTTTCACGACATCAGCCACTAGAATCCTCCAGCACAAACCCCCACTCGGCAGTCGGTGGCTGCAGGACTACACATCACATGCCTTGCGAGGGCAGCATGCAGTCGAGCGTCGATGCGTTGGGCACCGAAACTTCTCGGTCACGGCAGAAAGGAGGTTACACAGACTAATCGCACTTCCTCCGCTTTTCTGGCGAAGTCCAAGACTCCAACCAAGCTGTGTCAATGCCGGAATGCCTTGGTGGGTGTCCCGGTGCTGTGTTCCTGACTGGAAGATCTGGACCCTTGGACATAGGTGGATGGGCGACATGCTGAACACCGCACGAAAAAGTTGAGCCCAAACCTGGGACCGGCGTGGCTGCTGTGTTACCATGACAGCCAGCCCGCTGAGGAGAAACGGGAGCTTAGAGCACCCAATGCCAGTAGTCCTGGCTTACATGCGAATTGGAGACATCCCGCGCAAGAATCTTGGAGAACGTCTCACCCCGTCATTTGTGTCACCCTGTTCACTCCTGCCATGCCATTGAGCACCATCAAACCCCGCGGCCACTCGAGGCCAGCGACATGACCCAGAGACAAGTCGGCTTTGTCAAGAGAAAGTTTCGAGTGGTTACCTAGAGAGACTCGATTGGTTGCCGTCTCCTCGCTATCTCCGCCAAAAGACCAGTAAGAGCTCTTCTGCCAGCCTGCATTAACATCTGCCAGGGGCGGTTGTACTCAACACGCTTGGCTTTATTCTCCCTTGTCGCCCAAGTTGTCAGCAAATCCCGCCCATACCAGAGAGCCGAATCAACCCGAGTCTTACCACACGTCTCCCACGTTGTCTGTGTTACTATGGACAATGACTCCTCGGTTCATGTCAACTTTTGTTGACCTGGTGGGTTCAAACAAGGTTTCTGACGTTACACTCAAAGCTGGGCTTGCCCTTCACCCCATTTTTATCTGCGAATCATCAGCAAAGTAGCAAGCTCTCCAGCCTGCTGTTGACGTCTATTAAAGTTGGCGGTTGACCACTCGACCAGCGGAGAAGAAGAAGAATGCAGGTACGTATCCAATCCTTCAAATCTGTACAGTGCATGAATCGGTAGTTCTCGCAAAAAAGGCCACCCCGGTGGCTTCACGTTGCCTCTTGGGGTCCATGCTGTGAAATACGTCGCTGGTTAGCCACTAGCAGGCTTGAGCTCTACACGCTAGGGATGCTCTTGCAATTCGGCTTCAATAGCTCCTATCGAACACCTCTGGCTGCCGATGCCCAGCGTGGGCCATCACACTACCATAAAATGAGACTGGTCAAGCACCCTTGAACGCGGCAAAGCAGCTCCCAGTATACCAAACATGGACCGTCCGAGAAGACACGCGGACTATGGGCTAAAGCAGTATGTCGGAACAATAATCCTGAGACTGGCCAATACCATAGCACATGAGTTGAAGGAACCACAAAGGATCACATATTCCGCACTGTTGTTCATCCGCCCAGCTGATCAGATGTCCCTCGCCCGCTTGAATCTACGTGGGGACAAGCCTCCATTCCTGGCTCAGACCGACCCTTGTTATCACTGCTAGCTCGGTTTCCCGGCGGCAGTTGGGCATGGACGGACCACGGGAGCAAGGCAAGGGGCGTTGGGCATTCACGTCATCGACTCATGGTGGGCACCCTCCCGGCCAAACCTGGCCTCCTGCGTATGCTGTGAGAGGTTATATCTGCAAGCTGATCTCTGTCATTTCTGCTAGATCTGTAGAGCCCCAGAGCCCAACGCCACGACCAGATCTCCGGGTTGGCAACATCCGAGCCTCTGTCGTCCCACCACCCCTGCTTTACTATTCGTTCTTCAAGTACCATCAACCAGTAACCATGTTCAACGTAAGTTGCATGTCATTCAATCCAGTACAAGTTCCTGCGTTGATGAGACTGAGGTTGATTGACTCCAGAGCGGCAGCAAGAGCCACAAACACCTCTCCGCCCAAGCTGCAACGAAGCACTCCAAGACGTCCAAAGCCAAAACCTCTCCTGGTGGTACCCCTGGAGGTAGAGGGTCGTTCTTGTTTGTTGTCAACGAGCTTCAGCTCAACGTAAACGCCATTCCATCCACCGACCAGTGGCTCAACCTTGTACCGCCTGTACAACCAACCGACTATGTGGGCGAGATTCCGGGGACTGTCTTCCGTTACCAAAACGGGGTCGTTTCTCCGGCTCTCGGCTACGTCTGGTAAGTAAGGCTCATGATCTCAAGGGGGAAACAACAAAGTACCAGAATGTGAAAGTTGACACCGAGGATTGTCAGGTACCGGCCTGTGCCGGGGCAGCGCGGCCACATCACCCGCGCCTATCTCAGTCAAGAAACCGGCTTCACAGTTACTGGATTCCCAGCGGATTACAAATCTCACACTGTTTTTGCCTGCTCACCTCTCCTACCCATGGTCGTCACTGACGGGGATGCCTCACTCGGAAACTCGTTCGTGCGCAAATTGTGTACCGGTACTTGCGACCATCGGTTCGAAGGTTACTCGACCTGGAACCAGCTGCACTTCGCAGGCCGCGGCGGCGTCTCGTATATCAACCATTGCTCCTCAGGGCATCCATACGCCGCGGGCAAAGATGCCTCATGGATCCCGTCCCTGGTGCCCAGCGTCTACAAAAACAGCCACCCCCTGGCTGGAGCGTCCCACGGCCTCTCTGGCGATATCTCCATTCTCCTCGCCTTAATGGGCTTCCATGGACGGCCTGGCCGTCCCAGCGAAGTGTTCCTAAATCACAGCTGGCACATGAATCGGTGGAGCGGTCCCAGTCGAGCTTCTGCTTACCGTACGTGCCGCCACCCACCCTCGCTTGCCCCCTGCCTGACCTGTCTTTATTTACTAACATAATAACCCATGGACAGTTCCAAAGTCTGGCGAGGGTTCCCGTGGCCTGCTCGTCCATGTTTGCCTAGACAACCTGCTTGACAGTCCTGGGCACGGTGGGGAAGTCAGCCTCCCTGTGAACGAGTGTGAGAGCATGGTAAACTATCTCGAGTACCAAACCGTTCTCGTGCGGGAGTAGCCTTGAACTCAGGTGGTTTCTTTTCCACTACACTTTCAGCTCACCCCATCTCCCCGATTCTACCTATCTCGAACGTTATCTCACCTATGATGATTCTCCACGATCCCTCCCGCCTCAAACTCATTTTACGTTGACAGTCGCTCGTTGCATTCTGTTTTTCTCCAAGAGAGCATGACCGTCATGACCACATACCATTTCTTTGTCAGATAGAGCATTGCCTTTGCAGCCATTTCCTCATTCCCTGTTTTTGTTTCAGAGAGCACGACCGTCATAACCACATACCATTCCCTTGCCAGACAGAGCATTGCTCCATCTCTCCATAATTAGACTCAGATTCACTGATAGTTTAAATGTGTGCAAGGGTGTATCCCTAAATGCCTGTGCGATTCTCTGGTCTAGCTCAATCATGCCCGAAACTCGCTCATTATACACCATACGCCGCAACAGACCGTTTATAGTCTCCAAACTCCCAGCCGTGCCCCCGTTGCCCAATGGACCCAGCCATGCAACAACAACAAGCTTCCCTTTATCGAGTGGCTCAACTCATACGGCGTCTGGTAGGCGCACTGCAATGTCTCCGGATTGTGTGATGTAGCGTACCCATGGCAAGGAGGGGTATTGAAGCTGCCAGACAAGTCAGCCACGGTACAAACCAGAAGGGGGTGAAGGGAGACAAACCTTTGGCTCTGTAATCTTCAGATAGCGGACCTGAATACCGCTGGTGGTGAAGTAGGGAATCTCAAACTTGACCTGGATGGGTCTCTTGGCGCCCTTGCCCGGGGCGCCGATGCCACCCATGCTGCCGCCAAAGCCGCCCGTCATGCCGCCACCGTGCTCGTCGTCACCCCGGACACTGGGCAAACCTAGCTCTGCGCGCATAAGAAACTCCTTGCCGCCGCCAAATTGCTTGATCTTCCAGACGATAGCGCTCTGCTCAGGGGCGTAATGAACAGATCCAACGTTGGTGCGGAAGCGCGGGGTGTCGGCGTCGTCGGGCACGGGCACGACAATTTCGACGTTGTTGGCGGTGCTGCGGCGCTTGAACTGAGCGCGGGCCTTAAGCATGTACTCAATGCGCGAGCCGCTGTGCGACTCGACGACGCACTCGACCCAGATGAGCGGCTTGACCTGGGTGTTGAGGCGATAGGACATAAGCTCAAATTCGCCGTCAGGCGGGATAAAGCTGATGGTGCGGTCGTTCTCGAAGCGCGACAGGCGCACGCACTGGTGGAACTTGACGTCCTCCATCTCGATGGCTTTGCCGCGCGTGGTCCGGCCCGTCGTCTCGAACATGACCTTGTCGTTGAGGCCGAGGCGGAGCTCGGGCATGCCCGACAGGTAGCACTTCATCTTGATGGCGCCCAGAATCTCGGAGCGCAGCACGTTGCCGTTGGCCGAGACCAGAAGATTGAGCGATTCGATGACGTCGAGGAAGACCTCGTTCTTGCGGTAGCGGATGCCCTCCGAGCGCCACGACACAGCGTTGGTGACAGCGATCGGTGGGCGGGCCTGAATCTCGAGCTTGTGCGACTCCTGGGTGATGTACTCCTGCAAAATCTTGGACTCGGTGGTCTGCGGATAGCCAAAGTCCATCATCTCATCGAGCAGTTCGTAAATGATGACAAAGTTATCGCGAATTGACTCCTCCTCCAGCGCCTTGAAGTACTCGGTGAAGACCTCCACA